GGGCGGCCGTTGGCGGTTTGAAGGGCGCGCGCGCGCACAGGCCCCGCCCCGCGCGCCATGGCGGCGGAGCCCCGGCTGGGCCCATGACAGCGGGAACCCGCCGCCGCGGCCGCCGCCGTCCCTGCCGCCCGCCGCCGCCCCGGCAGTGCCCCGGGCCGCGGCTCTCGCCTTGCAGCGGCCTCCAGGACGCTGTCATGCAGGACCCTACCCCGGAGCGCGCCGAGGAGAGCCGGGCGGCGGCGGCGGAGGGCGGCGGGGCCTCCTGGCTGCAGAAGGTGTTCGAGGAGGTGCGGGGCTCCTCGCAGCTGAGCGTGGCGCCCGCGGAGCCGCCGGCGGTGACGGTGGTGGCGGTGGAGCGGTACCTGGCGCAGGCCCCGCCGCCCCCGGCCGCGCCCCCGGCCCCTCAGTACTGGTACGACGTGACGCTCGCGGACGGCGCGCGCCGGCAGCGCTGCCACCTCGCGCCGTGCCTCAACGGGCTCGTGCAGCGCGCGCGCCTGCGGGCGGGCGCGCGCCTGCGGCTCACGCGCTGCTCGTACCGCTACGATGAGAAGCGGCTGAACCGCGGGTTCCTCTGCCTGGAGGGGCTGGAGCGGGCGGGCGGGCCCGGGGACACCGCCACGGCCGCCACCCCCGCGGGGACACCGCCCGACGGCCCCCGCCCGCTCCAGCCCCTCCGCGGCGAGAACAGGCACTACCTGCCTCTCTGGAACAACGAGGATCCCTACGGAGACGTGTGGGTGCCCGACAGGCCCCCGGCGCAGGTGGATGTGGACGGTAAGAGGGGGGAAGGCGGGGGGTGCTCTCTCCTGGCGCACCCGCTTTGAGGAGGCGGCGCGGTGGTTTGCCGTGGGCAGCTGAGCTGGGGAGGGGTCTGCAGCGCAAATCCTTTGAGGAGCTGGGGGTGTTTAGCCTGGAGAGGAGGAGGCTCAGGGGAGACCTTACTGCTCCCTGACAAGAGGTTGTAGCCAGGTAGGAGTCAGGCTCTTGTCCCAGACAATAGGACAAAGGAACATAGTCTTAAAGGGAGGTTCAGGTTGGAGATAAGGGAAAATTTGTTCACAGTAAAGGTAATGAGACATTGGAATGGGCTGCCCAGCAAGGTGGTGGAGTCACCTGTATCACAATTGACCTGCTCGTGTTACATTGGATAGTGGGGAAAATCTCTTCCCTGTAAGGGTGATGGGATGCTGGCACGAGTTGCCCAGAGTTGCCAAATTGTGGATGCCCCGTCCCTCGGAGTGTTCAAAACCACACTGAACTGGACTTGGAGCAGTATGGTCTAGTGAAAGGTGTCGCAGCCCATGGCTGGGAGATGATCCCTTCCAACCTAACCCATTCTGGAGCTCTCTGTGACTTTGAGAGTTTGTGTTTTTTTTAAACTCTTTTAAACGTTGACTGAAAACAGGTAGATGTGGTGCTTGTGTCCAGTCTTCTGAGGTGTCAAAAACAATCAGTCCAGTAGTGGTCTCGTGTCTGGTCTGTGGGACAGGGTGCTCAGACCTAGCAGCTGGCACCCAAAATGTGCTCAATGTTGAGGGGCTTGGGGCCATTCCATGAAGCCTGGTGAGGAGGGAGGTACAAGCAGGACTTCTTCACAAGTGTGTGGTGCCTGTGTTGACTAATACCTGTTTTTTGTAGTAGCTCTTCTGTTCATGTGACAGCACTTCTGTGTCATTTGAAATGTGTCATCATCACCCTCTTTCAATGAAAAATACAAAGCAAAACTATGCTGTGTGCAGATAGCTCATAACAAGATTTAATGGTGAATGGCGTAAACAGATGAGGCTTTTTAGATGTTAGAAACATGCAAATAACATGTGACACCCTGGTCTATGCACTTTGCTCCTGAAAACTTGAACGTTCAGTCATGAATGCTCTTTTTTGATCTTTTCCCCCACCTCTCCTCCCCCCCTTGACCTTAGTCTCCAAGCTGACTAACCTTGGTCATCTGGAAATGACATGGAGAAGCAGAGTGCGCTTCCATCCACTCCTTGTGAGAATCCTCCACAAATCTAGACTAAGGTACTACGGGAAACCAGAGAAAGCAATGGATATGCCTTATCAGGTAAAGAGGCATAAAAACATTGGTTAACACTCAAGCAAATAGGTCTAGGATATTTGAAAATAATTTTTCCTATGGAACAAGCACATAAAGTTAAGATTTATGTTGTAGCTATTTTATACTGAAAAATATGAAAAATCTGTAGCTTAGACAAAAGTGCTGAGCCATTTAGAGTAGGAAATGCTGCATTTAGTTGTCATATGTACAAACTGGTGGATGTGTTTCACTTAGTATAGTTCATTTGAGCTTTTTGTGAAGAAATACAGATATTTGGAGGTTTTAGTAGTTGACCAGCCAAATGTTTCTGTTCTCCATGCTTTGGAGATTAGTGTGTCTTGTCAAAAAAAAAATAAAAGGCAATACATTTTAGCAACTTTTAGGTGACTTCCAGATAGATTATTTTATTGTAAAATTCTTAATTACTTTCCTAATATATTTCGGATGAGGTTTTCTTTTCAGTGGACTGAAATTTTTTTTAATCGTTCTGAGACTGTTTAAAAATCTTTTTTTAGTGCTCGGTGATCTACTCAGTTATGGATTCAGTGGTTGCCAGTTTAAAAAAAAATGTAGAAAACTTTGTAATGAGAAAAACTTCAATGAAAACATAGTGGTTTGCAAAGTAAATTGTTCTCTGCACTATTTTTTTTGCTGGGAAATCAGACTTGTATAGTTTTTTGATCAGGAATGTTTAGTGAATGGCTCTGTAACTTCTCAGCTTCCAAAATACATTTTTCCTTCATGGATATTTTGAAATGTTACTCTAAATATAGCATTTTCTATGATAAAGAAGAATCTTTTCCCTATTGTTTCATGTGGATGAGATTTCTCCAACCTCCTCCAAAAGCCACAGAGTGAAGTTGGTATCATCCTACCATTAGTGAGCACTAGGAAGATAAGAGTTGGGGCTGAGGTAATTGTGGAAGAATTCTTTGTGGAAAGTGGGGATTTTTTTCCACTGTAGTATTCAAGTTCTGGAACATACTCTATATCCATTGTAATCATCAGAGAAATTGTTCAGAAGTCAAGTAGCTGGTTCATTACCCAAAATAAACACATACCAGAATGATGATAAATAAAAGATGAATAAATATTATCTCTTTTTCCCCCCTAGGCTTATTTTGAGGTTGCTGATGGTTCAGGCATGACGTCGATGGTTCTGTGGAGTTCACTGTGCCCTGAGTGGTATAACAGCATGAAGGTTGGCACAGTCCTCCTCCTCGAACAATACGCCATCAAAGACAGTTACCCTTTCAAAACACAGCCAACACCGGGGGATTCACAGATGAAGAGATTTGCTACAATTGGTTAAGTATTACAGAAACCTGTTTTGACTTTGGAAACGTAGTTCTTCGTAGAAATAAAATAGAAAATGATCAATTGCTGAGACTAATATAGTTCCACCTGTGAAAGGTGTCTTAACATCCAGGTTTTTGTTGTTCCCTGTTTATATTTGGGTCATGTCTGCAAAGTTTACTGCCACAATAGTTAAAACATTTATTTTAAAAATAAATAAATAAAAATCTCTGATATCAGCAAGTGGTATTATAAACACAAGTCTCTGGTACTGAATTTTAGTCTGATTTCTGCTTCCTGATTAATAATACACATATTGTTTGTGCACTGCTCACACCTTCTTCCAGGCCTTTGAAGCACATTATCACCTGATCTGACTTTAGATTTTAGTGTCTATTCCAAGGCCTAGAGTATCTGCACAGCTCCACTGAATAAAAAGTTGCATTGATGACTGCTTTGTGCTGAAAGAGCATCACCCTGGGAGTGTGTGTATGAAGAATATTCTTTGGCTATGAAAAAGTATTTCCTTACATGCAGTTGTTTAGTGTGGCAGATACTCAAAGGAGCTACACTACAGAAGTACAAGTACTGCAATATAACAGTAATAGCCTTTTCAACCTGGATTTGGTCAACTTTGGATTTTTTTTCTCTCCTACTTCACTGAACATGAATTCCTTCCTTTTTTGTGCTTTTATACTCAGAACAAAATGACAGCCAGCACTCAGAAAATTCAAATAGCTTCCTTGAACCAAGCGAATATGCATGTTAGGGAAGGATGATGTATGTATAACCTACTAACAATGACAGTTTCCTAATGCGCTTGCTACAGTGCACAAAAATAAACAATATTTTCACTTCTAGTAGCAGCGTATTTTCTGCCTGAATGTATATGTGCATTAAAACAAGATCCTAATGTTTGAAGTATTTGTGATGAGTTGGCAGGAGACAGAAATGTTTAGCCAAGAATGGAAGTTTGTCAGGGAAGGTGATGACAGTTTGTGTTCAGATTAAACGAAATTTAATACCTCACTAAGTATCTCTGTATATGCCCAATATGAGGCAATATTTCAGGTTTCAGTTCCACTGAATTACTTTTCTTCTTCCTTTTTCATAATTTCCAATTTATAATTCCATCAAATCCCAGCTTTCCAGGGTGCCCTTATGACCATTCACCTGTGAACATTGTACAGTGTGCCTGGAGATAACAAGTCCACAAGGGAAAGGGATTCCAAACTAAGAGTGCTTGCAAGGCAGTGAGGTTTTGGCATATCCTACCCTGCTCTGGAGTGAGTTCTGCACTGCTTGCCTCTGTGTGCAGCTGCAGCGTTGTATGACGTGCAGAGACGTGCTTTTCAGTACCTAAAACTTTTGGAGCTTAAATAGTTGGTACCACCACCTTGAATTCCTCTGCCAGGCAACATGTGCATTTCACAGATCACTGAATTTGTGTGGAAGTGACAAAAGCCCGATCTTATCTCCTGACTCATCCCAGACTGTAGTCCTGAGTTGAGTGTATGACTCTCATCTAATCTCAGAATTAGGAAACAGTTGATAAGTAGTGCATGAGAAGATTTTGAGTTGCGGAATTTTCTCTATTATCTTGAAACACCATATTCAAATCCACAATTGTCCTCCAAATATATTTCTATAAAGCAACAGCCAAAAGAATATTCCTAAGTAGAGGGTCTGACTTCAAGTATAGCACCTTCCTAATTTTGCTGTACTAGGTTGAGGGGCCAGGTACAGTTATATAAACAATTCTGTACATTACTTATACTTGTTTAATTACTTTTTGGGGTACATTATTTGAATAATCCCTTACCCAAACCCTAGCAACCAGATTAAATAATACGGAGAGAATGACTTCACCATCCAGAATACAGCAGGTGGTACTTTATGATCTTATAACAACAACAATAATAATAAAAACCTACCCCTAAAGAAACCAGGATAAAGTTTCTTGAGGATTCCAGCTTTGTCTCACTGTTTGTTAAATTATTAATTCCTGTGACTTTAGGTTTTCATCAAAATAAAAAAAGGAATTTGGGTATGGAATTCAACAAAGCAGTTTTATAATCTGAATAATTTAAACTTTCCAATTCCCTGTATGAACTAACAAGTCCAGTCCAGTGAGATATTTTAAGACCAATTAATACCACGGTACTGATTAGATAGAAAGTACTTTTTACACCAGCTCTATTGCAAAATGCCAGTAAGGTCTAAAATTGATGTGCAGACAATGAACTAAAACAGAACTAGTAGATGAGAACTTCCACAGCTGATGCCAGTACAAGTAATTATTAACATGATATAAATACACCATGGCCATGAAGGAAAACAAAATGTCTATTCTGTAGCAGCTGTTGTTGTTATTGACGATGATGCTGATTTGTATTCATGCCTTAAATGTTACCTTTTTTTTTCTTCGTCAGAAATTAGCCTTAATGTTCGAAATCCTCCTACTAAAATAAGCATTATTCCAGAAGAAATGGTTAAGCCAGAGTGGGGATTACCTGAAGTTAAATACCGGTTTATCACAAGGTAAAACAGACTTTTGTTGGTTAGCAAGCTGGAACTTAAATTACACTGCATTATAGTGAATGTTAATTGGAAATGTTTTTTGCAGAGTTTCTGAGAAAGCTTACCCACATATTTCTTCTGTTTTGGCTTTAGGTCAGAACTGGATGACTTACCACACAATTATTCCTGTGACGTTATTGGTCTTGTGACATTTGTCGGAAGGGCTGAACGAACCAGAAAAAGAGGTTTTTCTATGAATATGATTTTCAGAATTTATCAAATTGTTTTTGTATTTCTGAATAAATGCTTATACATTTTTGTTAATATTTGTTTGTATAGAACACTGTGAAGACTTCTGGCTCTATCGTTGGGCACATGCCATTGATGGAACCTCAGACCATCCATTCATACTGGAATTATATGCAACTTCTCAGCCAGATGTGTTTGAGCGTATTCACCCAAGTATTCATCTCTCTATAATAGTTACTAATAATTACTTATAGTTGTTTTTCTGGTTCACTGCTAATTTCAAATTCTGAACATAATTGCCACTGAATAAAAAAATGCCTCTGTTTGAGGTTTATCTCCTCAAACAGATAAATGACAGATAAAACTTAAAAAATGGTTTAAATATTTGAAAATCTTATCATATTGCAATGTCAGTGTGAACAATGAGATGGATAGGTGGCGTTCACCTGATCTCATTAATTTCAGACAGAAACTGAAGTGAAGCACTTGGGGCAGCATCTCTTATGTCAGAGGCAATGAAAGACAGCAACTGGTCAAATCTGTTATTCCTTTTGTCCTGTAAATATATGGTGTTTTTATAGGCAGGAATTATTTAAGAAGATTGAGTGAAGGGAGAGGTGAAAGTAGAAAAGCTTAATTTCTTTGAATCAATATTTTTGTCCAAACAGCAGTCATCACCCAGCTGTGTTATTTATTGCCTGTGAGATAAGAATAACAGATTTCAAAATGGGGAATCCTTAATTAAGGATTTTAAAAGAGCTTTACATTTTTCTTCTTGCCTTCTTTCTCTTCTCCTCCAAGCACTCATTCTTCCTTTAACACTGGTTGGTTGCTGTCATGTGCATTTTTTATATCATATGATGCAGGACCAGCTGCACAACCCTGTTAAGATTATGGCTGCATTCATCTTGAGTGTTCTGGGGGAATGGCAAAGAATGACATTCCAGTGTTTAACTGAGATAATAACAAAAGAGTGAGTTTGTATTCCATTTAGAAGTTTTTCAGTGACCTGTCATGATTTCTCATGATTTTATGCTTTTTATCTTTAAGAAACACAGCCATCTAATACCTGTATTCGTGCTCTTTGTTTCTTTGATATCCTACCTGATGAAGTGTCTTATTTTTAGTCCTAATGTGTATGCTGAAATTAAATTGAGTATTTAATTACATCTCCATGTTATAATTTATAATGGAGACTCAAAACATACTGAAGCATTTGTAGGATCAAAAACTAAATTGTCTTGTTTAGACACTTCTTAGTAAAATTAATACAGTGTGTGTCAGTCTTGACACATTGATTGTAATCAATGAGCTATTGGGAAAAAAAAAAATGAAGATTTTTTTTCCTCCAGTGACATACTTGGTGTGCACACAGATGAGAGTAGTCCGGGACCTCACTGAGAATCCTTCCAGCACAATTTACCTCACGACTTCAAATGAAAGTCAAATATTCATTACAGGTAACTTAAATGAGTTCTGGTTTTATGTAGTTCTCATCTTATTTCTTTGGAAAGGATGTATTTTAATTAAAATTTAAAAAATGTATAGGTGTCCTAAATTGTGTCTTTGCTCTTGAATCTGGAGGCAGATTTTTGCAGTGTTGCAGGCGAGTGATGTCCTGGCAGAATTGCAAGGCAGTATAAGGTGCAGTAGGAGTATCTTTCCTGGTTTTGTTAATCCAGCTCATTTCTTCAGTGTTCCTAACATATCAGTCTGAATCCTTTTACTGACAAGTAGGAATAGAGAATAATATGTGCATAAAAGAATACCTGATCATACCCAGTTCTATACATATGGTCTTTTCTTGGCAGGCTGGGTAGGTGGTTTTGTGCTTAATTGGACTAGCAAAGTAAACTAGTTAGATTTCTAATGTTTAATTTACTCCTAAATAAAAGGTTTGAGAAGTTGGATTTTTTCCTTTGCTTTCCTTCAGTATAATTTGTGCTTAATTTCCACTTAAATACTTAAGCCTTTCCCCCACCCTAGCTTTAATGCATTTTATATCTGTTGGTGTCCTACATGAGGACTACAGCTGGAGATAGCAAACCACTGCATAAGGTCTATTTTAATTAATGGGCTGGATGTAGACCTGCTCAGATTACAGTTTACTTGATAAAACTGGTATTTAATCCATACTTTAGTTTTAAACCGGCCAACAATGAATACGTACTTTGCTAGTTACCTGTCAGTAACAGTCTTTGCTGAATGCTATAGAGAACACTTACCTGCTCTTTCCTGCTAAAAAAAACAATTTCTGATCATTTTGTTGTTTTGTGTGCTCCTGTTAGAAAATATTTTAGTAGCTTTTTTGCTAGTTGTTTTATTTCGTTCTGTTACTTCATATTTGTTTGACTTTCAGTGTCAAATGCAAATGTAGTTAAGGAATTCAAGATACTTGTTTTGATTAAACACTGTTGACTGGTGCAAAGACATCTTTTGTACTCTAGTCAAGATTTTCTTGATTTGGTTTTTGATACATGATTATGTTTCTTTTAAAAGGGTGGCACAAGGGCCAGCCATACACCAAGGACACCAAAGTGAAAAACTTCATTCAATGGATGAAATCGCAAAGTGAAGTTGATCAAATAAAGAAGACTGTCATTGGTGGCTATTACCCTTTTCCACGACCTCCAGATAACTTCTCAGACTATTGTAAAAGCAATAAAGGTATCGTGCATCAAATATCTGTAAGATTTGTGGCCTTTTTAGTTCAGTCTTATTCCAAGAAAAACTCCCTTATGTGACTAAATGTTTCATGGGTTAAATCCTCATCTTAAAAAAAGTATCACAGCACTATTAGCTCAGGAGATGTGTAGGAGTTTACGTGAGCTACAGATATGCCCAGAAGTTTTACTCTGAATATTCTGCTAAATCAATATTAAATATAGTTGTTCTGGAGGAAACAGTGAATTAGAAACTTCACCTGAAACATGAATTGTGATATCTGGTAATGCATACTAATGGATTCATGTAAGCTAAAAAGGTTTATTTAAATTTTTTTCCTATGTGATATGGACAACAAAAATATTTACAATTCTTCAAAAACATAAGTTTAAGTCAATTTAATATTTATTAACAAATTAACTTGTTTTTATTTTTTAACCTGCATTCAGGGATTTTAGTATTCTGTTTCCTTAAAACTTGTTTGTGGAAATTCCTTTTTTGCAGTTGAATCCGTTTTGAAGCCCATCAGTGAAACAGGGAAAGAGATTGAAGAATTGCACTACAGAGAACACAAGCGCATTGCTATTCAGGGAATAATCAGTGCCATAAGATATATCAGCTGTAGCAACACAGCTGAAGAAGTTTCAGGAATGGAACTTGTTCAGGTACAGTGTGTGAGAGTTAATGCTGTAGCACTTGAGCAGCTATGATTGTAATTAGAATGGAGAATTTTGCATTTGAGCTCAGAACTTGGTTACATTGTCTCTTGATTAACTTAATTTATGTTTTGAGAGCAGAATTTTAAAAAGCGATGATTCAGTGCTTTTCTGAAAGTATTCTGGCAGTCCTTTGTAAAACTTTTAAGTTTAGGTGTTGCTAGTTTGACTGAATAACCTAATGGGAAAGTAGTGCATGGGAGAGGCAACTACTCCAACACTCTCACTGTCACTTCCGAGACAGAACTTATCATAAAAATATGATTTGAAGATAATTTTTGCTAGGTAAAAGGTGACTTTCAGAAAGTAGTGTAAATTGTCCTGTTCCTTTGAAAGTTACTTTGAAACTTGCAAGTTTTTGTGTTGAGAGCAATAGCTTTAAGTGCATTGAAAATCTTAAACAATTAACTGTTGTTGCAGAAAGACACTTCTCAGTCTCTTGAAAGTTCTTCAGTTTCCAAAGAAGACTCTGTTGAGAGGGGAAAAAATACCAGCCTTCAAAATGAAGAAGTTAAGTCTTTTCTGGATCCACATTGTTCTCCTGGGGAACAACATCAGCACCAAGCTCTGCTGCCAAAGGAGAGTTCAGTGAAGAGAAAGATACGCAGATTAAATAGAGATGCAGAACAGTAAGCTCTCTCCATAATTATGTAGTCGATCGTCTAAAAAGTCTTTACAGAAATTAGTTTGGAGCCCAGGCCACAGCAAATATATAAGAAAGCTTTAACAGCATACATAGTTTAATCTTTAAAATGGAGTTATGTACTTTTCCTGGCATCAGTTGATAACAATTATACTATTCATGCTAATGAGGGATTGATTAAATCAGGTTTGCAGTGCTTTCTTCTGATTAATATTGTACTATTTTATTGTTAAGCTCAGATTTGAAATAAAAGTAGTAATACTTGAACCATACGTAGTTTAGTAACATAGCTGTGGAACAAACAGCAGTTAGTGGTTTGAGAAAATAAGATTTCTTCACTGAAAATGCAGAATTTCAAACATACCTTATTTTTTCTTTGTGGGAAATGGGATGTACTGCATGTAGCTATAACTTGCTGTAAGAAGGGCAAGTAGATGCTGGTCATGTTTTGAACCTAAAGGCTCAAAATAACTTGTAGTACTATGGCTCTGCTGCTTCTGGGATTTCATCCAGTTGTATCCCATCTAGTCAGACATAGACAAAAGATACCAGTCCAGTATAAGGAAATGGAATAAGACAATTTTTGTAATACAACTATATTAGATTCAAGAGTAAAATAACTCTTGTATAAGATTGCCCTTTGTTGCAGTGTTTGTGTAGAATCTAGCGTACTCATACTTCCTATTGAAAGCCTGGTGTTACATTGACAGATGGAATGTTGCAAAAGTCAGACCAGTCACATCTATTTTTTTCTGCAGTGGATTTCTCATGTTGTAAAGGATATATTTTTATTCTTGACTTTTCACATCCTTAAGTCATAATGTGTGAACAGGTTGGGTATTTAGAATACATTGAGGGAAAATGAGATGAAATGTACTTGGGATCAAATCAAATTTAGGATTAAGAAAACCCTAGTGAATAGAAGTTCTGTCTTGGCAGTGTTACAGCAAACTTGTTAGTGGATTCTGTTCCGGATGAAAAATTCCAGCATTTGAGTGTCTTAGTTTAGTTCTGCCTGAAAGGAAAACATGAATGTTCTTTGCTTCGTGTATTTCCATTTAAATAAAGGCTGTACAATAATGGTGAATTTCCTACCTTAAGGGGAAGTACATCTGTTACTCCTGTATCATCTTGCCCCTATTTCACACGGTCTGCAAGAAGAAAACTTGGGTAAGTCTTGTGAAGGTAATTATGTTGAGTAACTGCAATATTGAAACAAAGATACTTGAAGTGAAAATTTTACAGGTCAGGAATCAGTGTGGAAGTGAAATGAAAGAACAAATCAGGGTAGAGTTTAATATTAATTTTCTGTACACTCCTCTGCACTGATTCTACTTCAAATATATTGGACTGTTGTGAAACATAATTTTGAGTGTGTTATTAAACAATTGTTTATATTGCTAGTAGTGTTACTAAGGGAATATATAGTAACAGAGGTCCATCATATGTACTATATGTAGTTTTTGTTTCAGAGGTATTACAGTTTAAGTGGGGAAATTAGAGTTAGGAGGAAGGGATGCTTAATTAGCAAACAGTGAAAATATAATAGCATTAATGGATTTGCTAGTGGTGCTGAGCTATACATTATCCTTGATGCTACAGAGGGGTAAGTATAGTTGTCCACTTGGCTTCTTCCATTCCCCAGCACTCAGTTGTTACTGAACTCAGTTTGGATCCAGAGAAGGTGGGGTTTTTTGAAGTCCAGGTAGGAACTTCAGATTTAAACCCTGACAAGTCTAGAACTATTATTAAGAAAACTGAATGAGTGTTTTTACTTTTTGCTAGTAAAAAGTTACTTTTCTTTGCGCATTTTGTTTAAGGGTCATAAATTCTTGTAATTTGTTGCAAACATAGTGTGGGCAACTTGAGTGTTTGAACTCTTTGGTGTCATAACTTAAGATGTTTGTGTATTTTGGCAGTGGTGATTTGGGTGTATGTCAGGAGTACATTTACAGCTCAGTTGCCTTTTTAGTTTACTTTTTAGCATCTCTTCCTTCCCCCTAAAACAAAAGAATCATGGTGCTAGGGATAGAGCAACAATGCTAATGAGGGAATTGATGAAAAGTTGTTGACTGTTCTGCCAGTATTACCCCCCTACAAAACATGCCCCTTTTCTTGGGAGCTAATGTGCAAAAGCTTTTCTGTGGAGTAGATTAGTTTCTTTTGAGTCCATATGTCTGTTGTTTCCTGGTTCTCTTGGTAGAAACTGCATTTTGTAGGGGAAATGGTTGCCTGTCTTTGAAGCTGGTTGACTAACAGCATCATCTGGCTTTAGGGTCACATCTCTGCAGGTGGTGCAGGAGTTTGCAGGGACTTGTGGCACAAATCCATAGGAAAATGAGGAGGTTTTTCTTGACTGTGAAGAATCCTGTTTTCTTTTGCTTGCTGAAGAATGTTCCCTTTTTTCTTGGGGGCGGAGGGTGGGAAGAATGTTTTCTCCCCATTTCTTGTAGGTGAAGCAGAAAGTTAAGGCATGTTTACTTTCTTCTCTGCTTTTCTCAATCTGCTACTCTCCTTGCTACCTGTGTGTCCTCTCTGTGCCATTAATGCTAGAACCCCAGCTAAAGGAGGAGAAAGTCTGTGTTGGATTATGGAAAGCTGTTTCACTCTATATAATTAAAAGGTAACTTGTGTATTTCTGTAACTAACTATGAAGTTGTGCTGAATTCTCCAAATTGCAAAAGAAAAATAGAAAGTTAGCTGACTTACCATAAAATTGCATTGTTTTCTGTTCTGTTGCTTAGATGCAGCAGAATGTAAGCTCTCACTGAAATATTTTAATATGCTAATGAAATAACCACATAAATAAACTTCACATACTGCACAGAATGTTCTGAGTTGGAAGGGACCCACAAGGATCAAGTCCAACAGTAGAGATACATTTTTAAGTACATATTTTAGCTTAGACTATTTTGCATCAAGGTTTTTTGTGTTTTATTTTCAGCATGTGGTTGCATTTTTAATTTTCTTTTTTAAGCTGTAAAACCTTGAGGGTTTTTTATTGACAGCCTCAGTTCCTGCATTTCTTTTGTAACTTACCTGATCATTAAGGGTTGCAGAAAGAACAAAAAACTGGTTAATTTAATATTTTTGTTGATAATTATAGCCTTGCTATTAAAGGTCTTCCACATAAGGTCTTCTAAGCATTTAATATACCCAAAAGAAGTTTAATTTATAGTAAATGAAGCAGTTGTGAATGGGAAAAGATTGGGAATTTCAGAAAGGCTTTTTATGTGGAAGTGAAAAAGAAACACAGTAGTTTTTCATAGCATTTTAATGTTTGTAAGTGTAGCATGTTACCATGGAGTTGTTGGTGCTCTGCCTGCTCCCACTGCACACTGCTTGAAAGTAACTTGTTTGGTTGACTCTATGCTTGCACTTTCACTTCTGAATGTTTAATATAACCTAAACCCTTTTCTCCCTTTTCCTCCCCTCTAATGAGAGCTAAGGGATGGAAATTCTATAATATGGGGAAATCCAGTTTGAAGTTTGCATGACTGAAAGTTTCCTAGAATGTGATGTTTCCTTTGGAGCCCTTTTTCACATAAATTAGAATTTTTCATGGAGAAATTGGTAGATACCAATAATCAGTTTGTGTAAACTTTTGAAGTTATCATAGAAGGCTGTTTGATTTCTCTGTTACTTGCTTTTATAAATGTGTTTACCATAACGGTGTCAGGACAGTTAAGTTGATTTCAAACCAGTCTATAAAACAAGTTTTACCTGTCATATCAGTGAGTGGGGTGTTTTGTTGTTTCGAGGCGCTTTAATTCCGTGTACTGTTTGAGCATAGCCTCAATATCCAACTGTTTTCTTTCTTAATTTTATCACAGTCCCAGTGCTTAGGAAGTATGTGTAAAGCATGAGACGTGCTTATTTTCCCAGTATTTTCTAAAAGTATTGATCTGCCATCTATTTTTATTGACATTCTTTTCACTGACAATACTTTAAAGTAAAATGACTGAAAAGCTGAATACCAGTGTCTAGAAATAGCGTATAATGGCCTTTTTTTGGCAAGTGGGCATCTGTAAAAAGGTGGGCCTGCAAAATGCAGACTGGGAACAGCAAATGTGGCATGGCTCAAGTTCTCCTAAAGATGGTGTGGGCGAAATAGGATGTGGGAGTACAACAACCAAAGCATCTTGCAGTAAATGGAAAGATTTGGGTTAGATGCACTGGCTGGCAAATAAGGAAATAGACTGTATATATAGACCTGTAGGTTTCCCTTACCAAGCTTAGCTCAAGTTAGGTTGTACTCTTATCCAGCACAAAGCAGTCCTGTAGGAATGACATGTCAGGCAGCTGGGAGAAATCATCCCAGCTACAGATCTGAGAATGAAGCAGGGAACAATCATGACAATATTTTCATATTATTCAGAGGCTTTACTAGCTCTAAAGTAGAGCCTGCTCACTTCCAAAACTACACAATCTTAAAAGGAAAAAAAAATATTTCCATAATATCCACTCATCAGCAGTGTGACTTGGTTTAATTCTCTGCTTTAAAGAAGAGGAAAGTTGGGGCACATGTCTGTCTTGACATACTTGTTTCTGAGCAAGCCTTTCTTAACACTGCTGGGGTTTTCCTATCTCTTGTTGAGAAGTCCAGATCTTGAAAGTGAAAATTAATTTTGTGGGCAGTAATTGCATAGTTTGTGCTGCTTAAGTGAGGATTCTTCTGTGCCTAGAGAGAAGATGGAGATCACGAGAAGGTCACTTCAGTGATGATATCTATGATGATAGTGCATTTCATAAAATGTACTTCTGTACTCAAAACCCACAGTGTATTTCCTTTTGTCTTTTCACTAGATATTATTTCAGATAATTCTATATGTTAAGAAACACTGACATGAAATTTTCAAGATCTATTCTAGTATGAAATAGGAGAAATTGAAATAAACCCTGTAAAACCTTATATTAAATACAGAATGTGCCACTAAACAGCATGTTCATCATTGATGCCTTTTTTACGGCCTGTATATTGTCCCTGTGTATTTGCAGTTACAATCTTTCATTAGTAACTAGTTTTGCAGTCTGGAATTTCAGTGGTACCTTAATGAAGTTTTACCTGTGTTGCAGTTGTTTGTGATGCAAGATAGTCAAGATAGTCCTTCTCCTAAGTTTGTTCAGATAGCCCGGTGAGTTTTAATATAATTAGGAATGGATCAAAGAAGAAAGGAATAAATGGGCCTAAGAGCATATTTTACCATGTTTAGTTGCAGAGTATCTGATAAATTTTTCTCCTTCCTAATATCTTAGGTAGTTCATTAGAGATTGGTAAAGAATAGTTTCTTACCATTAATGCAAAACTTTAATTATAATTAAAGAAAGTATAACAAAAATCTGGTTTGCATCATTGAATTGGTTTTTGTAACAGGGCAGTATGTCCTCAGGAAAGTATCATTTTGGATTCTGGAGTGATGACATGGGTGACATTCGTGCTGCAGGGTGATGGTATGAAAGTGCAGCAGCACTTTTTTAGCACCGTTTTTTAGCATCAGGTCCCCTGCGATGTTGAGCCGCGTCAAACGTGATATTTCCTGCAGGTACCCGGGAGAGGGCAGCAGACACCGGGCTTTGAGTGTAAAATCCTTCCCCATCAGCTTCTCAAAGCCCGGGAATCCTACAGGGCTTGTCCTGAGCTCTGCAAAGCCGATTTCCTGAGCAGAGTAGGTCTCGTTATGTCAAGCTGCTGTATTTAAACTCTCATGATACGAAACCAGGTACTAGTGCTCATTCATTCAAGCTTGTATCCTTTATCACTAGAAATGTGTCCAGGTTTGAACTTTTGCCTGCATTGTGTTTGAGGTTAAATAGGTTTTTTTTAAAAAAAAATATATATATACACACATATATATGTATACACACTATAACTTTATTTTTTTAGGTTGGATGAATATCAACATGGAGATGTGCAAGATAAAAATGGACAGGCTGTATCAGCCAGTTTGCAGCACTGCACAGGTATGTTGTAAATAGTTGTTATATTAACTTTAGACTAATACAAGATTTGGGGAGGAAATGGATGAAATGTGCAAGCCAGTAATAAGAATAATGTTTGATTTAAGGATTTTTTTTTTAACAGTTATTATTAATTTTTTTCTTTCTTTCTCTGAAATTGAAAAATAAACTCATGTTCCATGCAGTTAGTTTCTTGGTATCTATTTTTGGTAGAAGAAAGAAGAACAGTTTGTAGTCTCTGCTGTAAGATAATCTCTTTTCCAATGTAAATAATTCTGTGATTCACTTGTACCCATTTTAAACCTGTTTTTATGGTTTCTGGCTGTTCATTGAACAAGTTTGAGTGCTCTCCAGAAACAAGCCATGATGATGCTCTTCATATGGCGAAATAAGTCTTTTTACTACAAGTCTGGCCTCTGAGGTTGCAACCATTTACTGACATTCCAGCTCTAGTTTAATTCCTTCTTCCATGTCTTGATAATTGAAATGTTCTAACGGAAATTATTTCTCAGCTAGCAGAGAAGTGATACAATTATGTAAGCAACTAAATATTTTCTGTGCTTATAACAGACCAAGAAGGAATGAGTGATATACCTGAAACTGAAGATACTGGAAGAACTTGTGATTCCTGGCAGAGTGACCTGTGGACACAGGTGAAAGACAAGTTAATGAAATATTTCCATCACAGCAAGATTTTCCCTGAAAGTATCCCACGTAAATTTGATTATGTGTACAAAGACTTACTTATGCAACAGTACAACCTTCATGCAGCGGTGCACCAGCCTAAACACACCACAGCAGACAAAAGCATCCATGAGTTTAAAAGTGCCAGTGGCCTTGGGTATTATGAAGTGACAGTTCTGGGTAAGTAGCTTGTCTTGTAGAAAAGGTTAAGCAAGAGCAGTATATAAGTTCATCAGATACTCTTTATTTGTTAAAATACAAACAGGCAACTTGATTTGTATCTGTTTGCTACCATTATTGGGGGTTATTAATTTGTTTGATTTTGTCTTTCCATTAAAAGGAAAGACAAACGTTGCTTATGTTAAGTTCCCATAATTTAAAAGTTTCCATTATTTGCTAATGGAGATTTGCAGAGAAGGTGTTTGAATATTTACAGTCATTAGAATCCTGGGACTGACAATTTGATATTCAAGATGAAAGCAGCTCTGTACTGCACACTGCATAGATACACTGGTTGCAAAGTTAATTTCTCTGCCCTTGCAGGTAAAGTTAAAAGGAGAATAAAATGGCTTCTGACATCGGTTTAGTATTTTCTGAGCTAACAGCATTGTTAACTTTAAACCATAGTCTAACATCATAACAATTTGAATATGCTTGTGTATAATAGAAACATATTTTAGATGTTATTAATTAATGGACAAAGAACGTGTAAATAAAAATCAGTGCAATAGTGTGTTTAAAAAAAAATAAATGGTGCATGAAGTTGCTAATGGGCAGAACATGAAGTTTTCTGCTAACTGAAATATTTTTCTTCAACAGGTATAAATCACGATGTAGCAATAGATGTGGCATTTCTCCCGCTTTGTTGTCCTGAAGATCCCCACTTATTTCAACTGGAAGACATTCAAAATGACACATTATTGTCTTGTATGAGCTCCATCTCTGCACATCAGCAGAAGACCACTAGCAATGGAAGGCCTTGTGACATGTTTCCTCTTTCAGGTGAGACTGGCTTTTGCTGGCATTATTCACTTATCATTTCTTGTTTTATTTTTCGATGCAAGAGGTAATTTTTTTCAGAAATCTCTGGTGTAGGTCAGACATTGCTCACCTCTTCAGTGAAAGAGACTTGAATTCTATGTCTATTAGTAAATAGATGTAACTGAACTGTCAAGGCAGTTTTTCCTGGAGCTGTTCTCATACTCTGAAGACAATATTTTAAGACCCAAACCACAAACTCCTAAGTGACCTAGATAGTGTTGGCAGTTATTTATTGATGCAAAGTTATACTGCTATAGATGGAAGTCAGTGTGTGCTTTGAAATAAAATGGAGTAACTGTCAATCAGTCAATTTATTTAAGTGATGACACTTTTAACACAACCTACAGTGCCTATGTGCTGAAGTATTTGCCTGCTGTTGAATTGCTTCAGATTATGCTTCTAATTACTAGCACATCATGACAAATATGATGAGCATTACTGGTGTGTATCATACTGCAAAGTGCTAGATAAACATTGTGTTTTCCTGCATGTTTATATAGAATATACAGACCTGATTTTATTTAAATACATCAATACTTTTCCTTCAATAATACTATGGAATCTGAGATCACTAGTGGTTAAGTAATCCATATATCAGCTTTTCCATATCTAATTCTGATGCTATCATTTCTAGTGATTGAATTTACTAATAAAATTTTTCACTGAAAGAAGATTGAACATATACACATTACTGTATGGAAAACAATATAAATTCAGTATACCTCTTCACTGTATACATAGTATACAGTAAATACCTTTTAAAAACACCTTTTCTTAACTTCCAGATGAAATTGTAAAAGCAGCAAAGGATCTCGATGGCAAACATGTTGTCTGCATCTTGGATATCTGTCACTTGGGTGATGACAAGGTGGAAGTCTTTCTGAGCAAAATCTACAAGACAGAGGAACCAGGTGTGCTGGATCCAGTATAATTTAATAACTTATTTTTCAAATTTATGTTGTTTAAAAGGAAGGAAGTAAATAAAATTTCTGTAACTTGAACGCACCCCATACACATTGCACTTTTCTAGAACTAGCAGACACAAACATGAAATTATGATTCTTGGGGCACTTGTAATGGTCACCCATGTAACTGGTAAGGACAAGTGTTGCCTTTATTTTTCAGTCTTGAAACATGGTGCCTTTTAGTACCGTAATCCAAAAAACCACTTTGCTCTTTTTGCCTTAGTGAGGGCAGCTCCTTTGTTTTTATATGTCTGCTTTTGTACATACAGTGTTTGGGTAGTGAGTATAGCACCCAAACACTTTTAACATATTTTATTCATTAATAAAAAAGTAATGAAATATTTGTTAAAACAGAATTTTTTATTGGAACTTGCTTCTAGCTTGGCAAGAGAAAAAAACCCTGTCTTTAAGGAGTGGTAAACGTGGCAAGATGCACAGTTTGTTACACCACTTGTAGCTGTATTCTGAGTACATGAAGGAGTTCAGCACCTACAAGAAGCTGCTGCTTCCACAGGAGCAAGAGACTCTGTAAAATTCTTTTTTGCTTGTGTACTCGGTAGCAGCTGGCTCCTGCTGAGTTCAGAATCAAGTAGCACTTCTTCCTCCCATGTTAAACAAACAGCCTCAGATCTCATCCAGAACTGGCAATTATTCTCAAGCAGGAGTTTATGGGAAGTTGACTACTTGTCCATCTGAAATGCTGGTCTCATTCAGTTCTTTGAGAAGAAATAATTGCATTATGGAGGCTTGCCAATTCAGTTGTACCATTATTGAGTTAATTTATAGGAACAGACATATGCTTTTGTGGAAAACTTCTAGGAATATTTCAGCAGCCTGTTGTGATTGGGGATTATCTCTGTCAGCTAACTAGTAGCTCACTTGTCTACCCTGAGGACAGTGGACTTTGCCCTCAAGTCCGTGCCGTATCTTCAGTTAATGGTCCTTTGAAGGAGACCCATAACTTATTTTATTATATGAAAGTAAGTTCACAGGCAACTTCAGATTAAAAAAGAAATTAAAAAGAAAAAATTATTTAAAAATGTATTAAGGAGAATAGGGACTAAAACTTAATTAAATGTGACTATGTATTGTATGTATCTATTTTGTATGGACCTTTAGTATTAGCTCTAGAGCAATGTTTGTCAACTCATACCTTTCAGAGTACCCACAAAAGGCAAAATGAAAACATAATCAACCCTGGAAGAGTGGGGTGTTGCTTGCAGTGTTATTTGTGTAATTGTGTTGCTGATGGGTATGTGAAGATGAGAGACCATTGCTCTAGAGATGCACCAGCACTTCTTGTTCCAAACTGAGCCAATGCTGACTGTGTCAGCCAGTGTTTTTTATTTAGATATACTTCAGGTCGAAGTCTAATTTTAATGAAAACATTATTTCCCAAAGCAATTTAAAGTAATTATCCTTGTACAGAAGGACTGGTGTGGCTAATGCTGTCACAGAGCCACCCTGCTGAGTTGTTCCAGCCACCTCCATCCATCCCATGCCATAGAAATGCAGCAAAGGCTGTTTGTGGCATTACACTGTTTAGTACACTTGTAATACATAGCATTAATCACTTCACCCTCTATGTTAGGACTTCCTAACTCTAAAAGAATATCAGAATGATGTGGAATATAGACAATGTACTTAAAATGTTAAAGGATATAATTTTATTTTACACAACTGTTTGAAAAGCTGTGAAGGAGAGATGTTTACTCTTGCAGAATGGAGTGCCAATGTTAGAAGCACAGGCCTTCTGTGTGTAGCTGGAGAACATCCGGTGCCTGTAGTAGACTTGTAATTTTACTACACTCTGGATCAATCGACAGAGGCACCGTCAAAGTAACACTGAACTTAATCCCTCAGGTTCAGTTGAAGTGCTGCAGTGTTACTGTGTGGTTCCACTCTGCCTGTCTCCCTCCTCCCTTCCAAGCCAGCACTGTCGCCCTGGAGCAAAGGTGCTCTCTGCAAAGAAACCACTTCTTGTTTTATTTCACTTGGTGTTTATTGGCAGAAGTGTAAAACCAAAATATTTTTTGATCCTGGGTCTGTCAAAACCTGTTAGTTTTGCCATGTTAAGCCAAGATACAGAATCTTTACTCCTGCAAAATGTCACAGGGATCGCTTTTCTTGCTGCTGTGTTTTGCCACTGCTGAGGGTAAAATACTATGGAAGCACATTCCTTAACTGCAGAATTTGTACCTGACCAAAGAACTGTACTCTAAAACCTTATATTTGCATGTTTCTTATTTTTCCAGCATTAATTGCAGAGGCAGGCAGACTGTGTGTAGCTAATGGTACTTTTGAGTGTATAAAAGTTGCTAAGTCATAGATTGTGTAAAGGGAAGATGAATTCTGAATTAATGTGATGTAGAACTAGTGCAACACTGCAAAGTAAAGAATATAAATAAATTAATATATGTAAACATCTTTGATTGTTTCCATTTCTTTCCGTTTTCTTTTTGCTTCTTGAAAGTGGTTTCACTTTTCCAAGAATCTTCTCCACAGTCATGTCAAAATATGTGCCACCAGTTGCAGCTTCTCAGGGTTTTCAACACTGTGCAGTGTGACTTCTGCAAAAAAACTTCTAAGTTCCTTCTAAGGAAAAAGGTGGTGAACTATTTAGGAGTGACATTGAACCACCTTGGCAGGGGAAAGCTGCCTGTTGGAAATGGGTTGAGGAGCACATTAGCAGGGCTCTGCCTCCCCTCAGCCCCACCACGCACTTGTACCATGTTTGGTAGAGAAATGAGGACAAAGGAAAAGCCTGGCCAGGCCGTTAACAGTCGAGCCTGTTCTGTGTTGTAATCTGTGGTCACTATCTCGATGAGTGCTGATGACTTTCATCTGCCCCAAGCCATGCCCTTTCTCTGCCCTCCAGCCCTAACCCTGCTGGGAATGGGGCCCTGAACTGACGCTTGTGACGTGGCTGAGGGCATGAAGGCAACAGGCTAAACCATTGATTACAGGGGACAAAAAAGCCTGGAAGACAGTCTTTGGATACCCTGCAGGCTAAAGGAAGCCAAAGTGCAGGCTCAAGATCAGACAGGAAAGATCAGAACAAGCTCCCGTGAACCTTTTTCCAGTTAATTTTTTCTTGTTTTAGCCTTTTTTAAAGGGATTATCTATAAGCAGAGCGAATTAACAAGTAAATACCTTCAGACAAACAGGCTGGAGAACAGTCAGCTGAAGGGGATGTCTTCAGGTGGACAAGTCCTTATTAACCTTGCAGCATGTAACGATCTAAACACTTGATGCAACCTGAAATGTGGGCAATGTGCTTTTTGAGGTCTGTAGAAAACAGGAGAAGTCTTTAAAAACTGAAGGACAAACACCATGTTGTCCTCAGAAAGGAAGCATCCAAGGAATTATTGGTCCGTTTGCCCAGCTTTTCTCCCTAGAGTAACTCTGGCCCAAAGTAAACAATTTTTTTTTTTAATCCCTTCCTTGGGTTTTTATCAACCATCAAGAACAGCTCGTACCAAACAAGTCCGGTTTCCCTTTTTGATAGGCCTAACATATGAGGCAACATCCTTCTAATCAGCTTGAGGAAATACTAATTAATCACTGAGATGCATATGCAGCTATCTGAAAAAAAAGTCTTAAAAGAGCACTTGACCATTCAGCAGGACAGCAAATGCTACTCCTTTGCACAAAATGTGTCAGGTTAGCAGCTTTATTCAGCATCTTTAACAATTTGCTCATCTGAAAAACAACCCTCTGTGGATTATACCCAAGGAGGAATGGTTAGAGGGAAGTTCAGAAACACAGAGTATAAAAAATTGCAGCAGTTTTCCAAATGGCAGAGCAACACAAAAATGCAATCCAATAAAATTGTCAAAAGCATTCCTCTTAGGCAGGAGAAGGTAATTTTGCAGTAAGGAGTAGCTGACAGGGCAGCAGTGTTACTAAAAAGATCAGAAATCATAGAAAGCCATAAACTGTGAGGAGCAGCTATACAACAAGCTGTTGCCACAGAAAGTAGCAGCTACTAGTTCTGGATGAAGTTGGGGAATGAGGACCGAGAGACAAACAAGGTAATTGTTCTGCTGGTTTGGGGATGATGCAGTCTGGCTTAGCAACACTCTCAGCTCTACACAGCAAGAGGGGCCCTGATAAATCTTCCTTCCCTACCTAAGCTTTAATAAACAGATGATCAATACTATTTTACATACAGCTCATAAGCAAAAGAATTAATATTACACACATAACAAAATGACCGAGTGTTTCCAAGGATTTGGAAACAGGGTTATGGCTCTAAACCAAGCTCAAACACAGTCCTTGAAGTCCCACATACAGAAAAGCAGATGCCCTTTTCTCTGCCTGGTATGTTTCCAGCTTTTCTACCTCCTAGGAAAACAAGTCATAAAGTTTTACATGCACGAAAAGTGCTATGAAAGTCAGCTGTGAAAAAATGTCAACTAATGGCTCTGCCTTAGTACCTGCCACTGTACTGAAGGGTGTTATAAGGAAAAGTCACAGGAGGTTAAAGTTGGAGGTTAAATGTCCACAAAGGAGACAGAAGAGCCTTTTTGGTTTTACTTTTTTTTTTCCTAGCTTTATCCAGGTAAAGGGAGAAAGGTCATCAAGGTAATGCCCAAAGAAAGCTTTCTCAGTTTGATGGGGGATACAGCCTCACTTTTGTCCCAACTTCCCGGCCGCATACCAACCCCTCTCCTCTTCCCCATGGCCTGAGGTACTTGGGAGGTGCAAGCATGTTCCCTCTTGTTACATACCATCTATGACTATTAACATTAGCTCTGAGCCCGCTCTGGGTGTAGAAGTTAATATATATAACCCTCATAAGTCTGAAAAGTTGAGAAGTTTGTAAGGATACGTTCATCTTGTTCTTGCCAGAGTCTACAGCTGAGTGTTCTCCTAGGACATGGCAGGGTGTGACGTTAAAACTGAATAGCCAGACCATGAATAATTTTCCCTGTAGCTGATTTTGACATTTGAAGGACAGAGCAGTTTCACACCTTTTAAGAGTACCTACCTGGCATTTTTGAAGTTTCCACACTGACATTTTCTGTGAAGGAAAGAAACTAGTGAGGCTAAGAGGCTTTGAAGTGCAGGAGGGAGAAAGGCTCCAACAGGCAAGACAAGCTAATTTTGGTGATCTCTTGCCAGTTAAAAAAAACCAAAACAAAACAAAACAAAAAACCAGTGGATTTTGTTTCTATTGCTATGTGAAAACTGGTTAAGAAGCAGCAATGGCACTGCTAAGTGCCTTAAATGCACCACAGTACTGGTGCTTCAGAGCAGAAAACAGAGAGAAATTGCTGATAGCAACTCCAGTAGATCAATAAGCAATGCTGCCTAACGCACCATTTTGTTCATAACATGGAACACATACTTATTTGGGGTTTTTTTTCCTTTTTTTTTTTTTTTAGCACAGAAAACGAAGGCGCAGCTCTATTTTTAGAGCATTAGCTTAACTCCTGGTTTAAGCTGCACGTAACACTTGATCTAAATTTGTAAATTTTGCCCAGGTTCCAAAAAAATGACAGTGCCTGAGCTTAACAAAACATCTTTCTCAGTAAGCTTTTAATTTCATCATGCACTTAGCCAAGTCCATTTTAGCAGTTTGAGCCAAATTAAATAGATGAAAAGTTATGTAATAAGCAAAGAGTATGATTACGGGAAGCACTGGTTAACTGGAAAGTTTCTCTTTGTAGATGTTTTGTGCAAGAGTCATCAAAATAATTGCAGTACTTTGGCAAAAGCAAAGCAAGGAACAGAGACTATTACTAGAATACACTGTCTGGTTTACAATTTTGCCACTGAATTATTACCTTCAGAAGACTACTTGGCAATAATCAGAGAATAGCTGTCAGAAGGATACTTCTACAAGGTCTACAAGCAAAGAGAAAGGACTTAACCTAACCAACATAATTGGAAAAAAAGAGAGGGGAAAAAAAACAACCCCACAAAAACCCCCCAAGAGTCATCACCAAGCTTTCAGGCTCTTAGATATTACAAAACTGAGGCAGAGTTTCCGGACCTGAGAGAAAGTTTGTCTCTCCTGTGCCACCCACCCAAACCCACATTGCTTTGCTGTGGTGAGAGCGAGGATTTAGTTACATCAACTGATCTCAAGTCTCCTGCTATCACCATGATTCAAGACAGTTTGCAGGAAGCTCATCCAAACAGAGAGATTTTAATCTGGTTTTGCATTTGGATTTTCAGTATTATTTAGAGGCTGTATTTCTACAGCTGACAAACCCTGCAAACCAAAAAATGTATTCTTTTGGGGTTTTTTTCTTTCTTTTCCTTTTTTTTTCCCCCTCTTTTTTTTTTTAATTAAAAAAAAAAAATTTTCCTTCCAGGGGAAATTTTGAGTATTTGAAGTTCCAACTCAGAACTAAGCTTATTGAATAATTTCCAGTGAATGGAAATGCCCAACCTGTGAACAGTTCTACCCAGCAAGTGCTGAAACACTATGGCTTACACTTTGACCTGTTCCTTTATGACTCCTTTAAAGCGGTTCAACTCTGTCATGGCATTCTTTAATTGAAATAAATTAAAACTAACAAAAAAGATAGAAATTAATTGTTCAATTTTTCTAGGATGCCGAATACAGGAAAGTTATTTAACAGAATGTATTAACGTAGAAAAAGGTCACTTATGGCAAATGATTTGTTGTTGGTCACTTACCACCAAAACAGGAGAACTGGGAGAAATCCAAAGAGTCTCTTGGATGGTCATGTCACGGTTATGTCTTAATTTTGAATGATCTGCTCACTGAACTGAAGGGAATAAAATATTCTTTCTCTGAATCTTTTCAGGAAGCCCTCGCTTATATGCTGAAGTGCCAAATAAACACATTTGAGTTCCAGCAACTATGTAATAGTGGTTTTCAGTAGTTTAGCAACCTGGCATTTTCAATGACCTCAGCAGCTAGCAAAGACTTAAACACTGGAACTGTGTCTGGGAAGGCTGCAGCACTCTCAGTCAAATTCAAGGTTGATTGTTTTTTAAGTCTCAACATGGCAATGTCAGAAAATAGTGTGGCCTTGAGCACCCTGAGGGTGAGAGCACAAGTCTCACAGCTCCATCTCTGTTCCATTATCCCAGCCAAAAAATATGGCTATAGTATTCCCCTCTGTCTGTGTGGCTCAAATTCACTTTTGAAATGGAAGAGGCCAAAGCAACATGCAAGTTTTTCTTCTCTGGGTTCTGCAACCCTTGAACATGGTTTCCCATTAAAACACCATCTCTTTTATATTAGTTTATCTTCTCAACCCAAGAACAAAAGCCACAACATTATACTGAAAAACATTCAATAATATTTATAAGTTCTTTGAATAAATTTACAGACAGATCAAGTAACCAAGAAGAACAAACAAATGATAGCAAAATGTGGAAAATTTCAAGCTAAAACCCCTCCAACCTTAAAAAATAAACATTAAAGATGAAAGTGTACTCAGACACTTGCTTTACATGCACAAACACAAGCTCAAGAAATTATTCTATTGGGAAGTGTGTCAACTACTGTTATTCAGGAGAGTTATCCAAAACTTTTCTATACAGCGATCCAAACCATCCTTTGTGTTTAAGTCTTCCTTTTGGCCTGGCACCTTACATCTGGGGTTTTTACCACTCCTCTGGTTTTATGAATTTGTTTGGGGGTTTTTTGTTGGTTTGGCATTTTTACGAAACAATAAACTTTGGTTTTACCATAAACACCAGCACAAAAGTCAAAAGGATTTAGGGTAAAGTACTGATTTTCCTAGAGGGCTGTAACGAAAGCCACAAAACTTTACATTGCACTGCTATGCTTGCTTACATTACAATCATACATTTCTGTTTGTCTAGTGGTCTGTGATGAGCAACATTCTAGATGAGGTAGATTGAAAAAATATTTGTATCACTATAACGATACAAATGTTGCAGGGCAGAGGGACTGAAGTTGGCATAGGAATTTAATTCCTCTGTCCCCCACGCTATTCCTTTACCTCTGAAATTTCCCACAGTGCTGCTGCCTTTTTATAACCTGAGTTTTATCTCACTCAAATCCCTGAGGCTTTATTCTCACTTTGTCTCATCGATCAATTTTCATAATATTGGGGGTTTCTTAGTCTCAATGTAAGTAAAAGCTAAATGCTAATCTGCAACATTTCTCCTCCCCTTTCTACCACTAACAAAAGGTAGGTAAGAATGTGGAAGAAACTGTATATTTGAGAGGCTCAGAAGGGACTGGGGAAAGAACTGAATTTCTTGAGGAGGGCATACACAAGTGGGTAAAGGATGCACAGCTGTTCTGCTTCACAGAGAACATTATGTTCTAAGCACTTTGTTTCAGATTTTTGACTGAAGTTTGAGGACAGGGATGAACTATAAAAGGTTAGTGGCTATAGAGTTTGTTCCTAGCAAACTTATCAGGAGATCTCTTCCCAGTCTGCTAAGACTAACTACATCAGTGATTAACACGTCTGCACTCAGTTGGAAGGAGCAAGAAATTCCTGAACACTAACCATTTAAAGGGCTTCCATGGATCCCTTTCTGCTCATTACTTTCTTCCTCCTGCACAATCAAGGTACTGCTGTTACCACCCTTGCAGCACAGGGTGGAAACTAATGCTCTCAGAATTCAGAGCAGAGAAACTGCTCTGGCACAAATTTCAGTTGTGCCAGAAAACATCTACTGAGCGTTGCTGGGTAAAGCTTAAAACAATACCATCAAAAAATGAGCAAAACAATTAATGACTTAAAAAAAGTCATCAAGCTGCTGCAGTAAAATATAGAAGAGATTTTTTTTTTTTTCCAAGTCCAGTCAGCACCTTGTTTTATATTGCTAAGCTCCTAGAAGGGAAGCTCAAATCACAGCCTCATCACTAGAGAAGGAATAAAACTTATCCCTTGAAAAACAGGTCAAGGTTGTCATCCCCCCTTCCTCTAAAACCATCAGCTTAGCATGGGTCTTGAAGCCTTTCAATTATTTCAGTTTCAGTGGTTTAACACTTGCTATCCATTTGACCACAGTTCCTCTGACTCATGCATCCATCCTGGTAATTCTGCTGGACAGACTCAGGATGACCTTGCTTTCAAAAATCGTGTTTTCAGGCCAATATGGCCAAAGTAGAATCACAGTCTGGTGAGACTCAATACAGTTATCTGCCACTGCACAGCACAAGTAAAAAAATCTATACAATTTTAAACAAAGTATAATTAACCCAAGAAGTCCATAAAGGCAAGGCATCTGAGGACAGGCCACTGAAAGGATAAAATACTAAGCCTTTTCTATGAATATTCTGAATAGCAGCTGGAAAGCAGAGAGGCTTTACATACACATTCTCAAAAGAAAAAAACCACCCTCTTTTATGGTATTTGACCAGGCCACAGCTGATGGACATCAACCAGGAACACAAGAAGGTCAGTCCGTATGTGCCCTCTGGAAAGTGCCCGGCCTGGGCACACACACAAGGGGCCATCCACAGACAGTCTGTGCTCTGGGACCCCACTTGGCAGCAGCTCCATGCAGGAGCACTAATAAACCATGTACTGTACATGAACCTTATCTCATCTACTGCAAAGCAGAGCCAAATACTTCAGTGAAGTCACAGTGCTTGCTCCAAAAAAAAACACACTGACAGTCTCCCATGAGGCACAAACACAGGCGACAAGTGACAAGTAACAGGGCAGAGCTGGCTGAAGCCAGAATGGGAGATGCTGTAATGCAGTGACAGGATTTATGCTCATCTTGAGTGATCTTGGATGATCGGAGAGATGGAAGAACAGCCACAGTTAGTGATGCATCTCCTGCACATCAGAGAAGGACTCGGTGAGGGGAGAGCTGTTGAATGTCTCAAGGGCCTCTTCACATCTACACTGTCACCTGAGGTATGGGAACAGGAAGGAGTTTCCTCCTCTTTCACTGATAAAGCAGAATTTATGTGTTTTCTTTTTCAGTATTAGGTGTCTCCGAAGTTTCTGTTAAAATTAAAGAATGAATTTCTTCTTCCATAATTAACTTGTCATAAGCATTCATGGCATCATCCTTTGCACAGCTCTGGAAGAGAGGAACAACATTTTTAACAGCACTTCCTTGTGGCGAGTGTTGTTTTTTTTCCAGACCCAATAAGACAGACCTGTGTTCCACAACATATACCCCATATTCTGGTGAAAAAGCCAAGGTAGCTGGGTAACAAACTGTACTTTTTGGAGACATGGCTGAAGCCTGGTTGAGAGAAGAGTTGTTCTCTCTGGAGAGGAGAAACTGAATGTTGGTTCCCACCTTAACAGTGCTTCCAGCTATAGCAAACAGGTAGAGCTCAGGCAGGAGGATGGAGAAGTGAGGTTGTACACACTTAGCAGGGTTTTCACTGAGCACATGGAGAAATTCTGCACTTGTCAAAAGCACAACAAAACAACAACAGCTACCACGGTTACAGCCCTCATGGCCAGGAGTCCCATCTTTGAGAACATACCCTGCTTAAATTAGGGCTTGTCAGGGGACTTCCCTTAGGGTTTTTATAAAGGATTACTGAGATTAATTTATTTAGAACTCAGTTTCCATAATCAGTACTATGTTTATTTTTCCTGAAATAAGGCACCTTAGCTTGAAGTGCCTATAGCTAGTTTTGTTCTTTTGCCAAAGAGAAACTAAATATTCTGGTTTACTTCAAAGTTAACTGACTATGATAAATGTGAGAATGCTAAAAATATAGGTTTTTGGAAGTCAAGTATGAATAGCTTCATTCAGTATCATAAATATGAGCAACTAGCAGAAAAACACATGAATGTTCAGAAGTTGTTAATTGGAGTCGCAAAAACAAACAAACAAAAAAACTCAAACCAAAAGCCACACAGGAAAAGAATCCTGATAATCAGAAAATCCCCACTCAGAAAACCAGAAAACCAACCTGAAACACATTTAAGGGGCTAGCAGTCTGAAATAGCAGAATAATGCAATTCCACTAGTATAACTAGAAAAGTATATGCAAAGGGGAAAATGGTTTTGGGTAATTGTTTCTGAACAACTCCTACTATTGTAAATACTTAATCTTCATATGATATACTTATATATAGTTAGTTATAAGATAGACATAGGTAGTAGGAAAAAGAAAATTGCAAGCCTAGAGATCACAGTTCAATAGATTAGTTGGCCCAACAGCTTCTTACTAACCTGGGAATCTTCATTCTGTTCTCCAAACATGCGCTTAAGAATTTCTCTAGGGTCTGGAATTGGTGGAAGAATTAGTATCTTCAGCCTTCATAAAATTAAAAAGAAAATAATTAGATGAGAGATACATTAATTTAAAAATCACCCTTTGAAAATCATATTTGGGTACAGTCAAGAAAATCTGTGGGCTCAGCTTTGGCATCACTGGTCAGCCTTCATTCTCTGTGTAACTGTACTTTTATTTTTACTCCCCAAACCAAAAAGAAGGGGTAATGTTGACACAGACAAATTCTAAGTAACTTTCATTCTTGACAAAGCGGTAAACGGAGGGAGATTGTTATTTACCTTTTCAGATAAACCAGTAGAATTATTGTAGATACTGCTACTATTAATGGAATGGTGATTATCAGAACCAAAGAGATTGCAGAGTCCTTCTTCTCACCTGGAAAACAAAAACTATAGAAACTTAGGGATGTTTTGAGAGGCTTTTGAGGAATAATAACAACAAATAAGTTAATTCTCTAATTTGTTCATAGATTCAATGCTTCTTCAAATACACTTACACTTCTGTAGGCAAGGACAGGCTTGTTTTTCAAAAATGGTATTATAATGTAGATATATTTGGCAAGAAATGCAAACCAGCAAGACACAGGACTGAAAAGCTGACCACACTGAAAAGGGGTCATTGCCCAGCTACACAGATGGCAAAACCAGCAGCACAGGCAGGAACTGACAGTGCTGCGGAAGGACTAGAACTCTCTTACCCTCTTTTCACCAAAACTTATTTAGATACATAGGAAGATGATCTTTGACTACCATTTATTTAGCAGACAAAAGGTATTAGATGCCTTACAGATGAAGAACAAAGTGCAACAAAACACAGGGACAATGGCTCTCACCAATGCTCTTTTCTTCACTCCAGTCACTAGAGAACTCGCTGCTGTAACAGTCGGACTTTGGCTTTGCTTTCACTTTGAAGATGTACTTGCTATTGGGATCAATGCCAGAAATTGACACCGAATTCTCTTCAGACTAAGGTAAAAACAAAAGGTAATTTGCTCTGTTCAATTTCTAATGTATTCTCAGTCGTGCCTATTTGCATTGTACAGCTAATGTGTTCTGAGTGTTTTGATAGATCTTTCCATGACTATTGAACCTCGTTAAAAAAAGGACAAAGCGGCACTTAAATAGCACAGACTGCTTAAATAGAGATTCCAAAGCTAAGATTTAATCTCATTCACTGCTACATCTATCATGCAGCACTTGGCATCAATGAATAAACTAAAACTCAGTGTCTGGAACGGTGCCTATTTTAATTTTTCTTTTTTTTTTTTTTTTTTTCCTTCTGAAAGCATCTGTGATTTACGTAGCCTTCCTCTCTGTCAGGACAGCAATGTTGATCTAACTTTGACCATACCAAAGTGTTCTGTGATGCCTCTACAGAGAAGCACAGAGACTAGATAGGATCAGCGTCACTTAATTTTGATCCTAAACACCAGTTTCCTGAGGCATGTTGATATCATTCTATTTTGGGTTAGAACAAACAACTAAATACACTCCACAAGAGGAGACTGCCACTTACTTTGAAATTTATTATGTTGTTTACCATTCTGATCAAAAGTGTAGTCAGTTTAGCAATGCACATACAGGCATGAGTACATCCAGACACTGAACTCAGTGCTTGTACATGTACATTTAAATCAGTATCTAAGAGTACACACCTCTTTCTCCTTTTCTTCCCCTCCATCTTCAGTCTTTTTATTCCCTTTTCTATGTGACATTCTGTATTCTTCTGTGCACCAGCAACTGATTTTTCTTTACAGTAATCAAGTCCCACCATTTAAAAACAAGGCTCCCATCTGACCACATCTGACCTCAACAGGAAAACTCAACACCAACACACCAAAGCCCATATCCCTGAGAAGCAAACAGGCACAGGCACCACAGTGCATTTCCTGAAAGTTTAATATATACTTCTTTATCAGACGGTTCTTACACATTACTGTTTTGCCCTAATGAACAATGGGAAGGATTCAGAAGACTTGTATGATAACAGAAACCAATTGTATGAGAGAAAAATTTTACATTCACACAACACTTCCAGCAAGTGCACCCAATCCATTCACATGCAGCACTTCAACTGCTCAATTTCAACCGCAAATATTTGAGTTACTGTGAATATCAACATAAGTTACAAAAGAGACATAAAAAAAAAAAAATCCATAATGAAAACTTACTGGAATTATCCGACCGGAGTCCAAATCACCATTGCGATATTTAACTTCATAAAGCAAACAACCTTTTGGAAAGGTTTCTGATTCACTCCATTTTACATCTATTTTATCATTAATCTTTGACAATGTCACTTGACTTGGTGTAGCAGGTTTTACTGAAATGCAAAATGGCATCATTAGTTCAAAAGTCTATTTCACTGCTTATAAAAATGTTCAAGTCCCACATTGGAGAATATTACACTTATACTAGTTTAGGAACAGAAAGAGGAAAGAGCAGCAGAAAGTAAAAAAAGAATAAATCCAACTAAAGAATAAGAGTAGAAATGAATGGAAAATGGCCCCTCCACCTCTAACACCCACCCCCCCAGAAACCAAACCCTGTCTATATAACTTCAAATCAAAGGTCAGTAGAAGAAGGAAGCATCTAATCATGTTGTCTCACGCACACCTTATGAGGTGCAAGTTTCTCAAACACAGCAATATACTACCAAACTCCTTATTCTAATTATTTTTTATGACGTGGTGTTAAACATACCAAGGGTGGTAGGATTTTTACTTGCACACACAGGTCTAATTTCTTCAGAGTCATCTCTAATCAAAATACTTATAGTTGGGTAAGTATTGGTGACTTTTGGAAAGGTAAAATTGAAAATGCATCCAAAGATTCCTTGGTCTGTAGAATAGTTGCTGCACTTCTTTGGGTTCTTCAAACCATCAAACCTACAGGAATAAAATGTTATAGACTTAAGAAGAAAGGGACATCAAGGGACAGGCTTTGTTTTAAACCCATTTTACAAATTCTAAAGACTGATCTTACATTAAAGCTGTGCTATAGCATATAGAAAAGTAAAGGTGGGCAAAGCAAGAAGCCTCTAATTTATCTTGAGCTTTATAAAGAATATTTCAAGTGTTGAGCAGAAAGAGAGGCAGGTTTGCTTTATATCAAAGTATCAAAGACAACAGCTGCTGTCAACTTTGGCTCACATTATCCAAAAGAGAAAAAAAAACAATTTCAAGGGGAAAAAGTATTTAGAAAGCAAGCTAATTTGGACCATTTCTTGTCAAGAGAATTTCACTTCTGTGATAGAATGATCAATCTCCTTTAGCTCTGCCTCAGGTACCACAGCTTCTTGCTTGAGAAGGTTGAGTTTCACCTATTTACCTGCACTTGCTTTTTAAAATGTCAGTATTCGCTTCCAGCAACAGAGAAGCTACGGCAATCTTCTTCCTTGCTTCTCTTTGTTCCCCAAGCCCCAATGAAAATATACCAGTAGCTTTTCCTCCCAAAAAACCCCAACAATTTATTTATTTAAAAGTGGTATAGGGTGAATCAGAGTTTCATTTAGGAGCACAAAAGGAATGGCATTTCCCTACTTCATATGCCTCCTTTTCAGCAGGAATTACTGAGCACTGGATGGATTCACTTGTTGTAAGTTATCATTGTATTCTTGTCCACTTTGGATGAAAATACAGTGGTTTAGAGGAAGGTATCAAAGAATAACATAGAATGGAACTAGGCAATAATTTTTCAGGCAGTTGTTTACTCATTTCTGAAAACCAAAACCAAAAAAACCACCACCTCACCTGCACTGTGGAAAACGTATCTTTCAGTCTAAAAATAAAGTGCTTCTTTAGTTTTTTGATTTAAACTCTAAAAATTATTCTTTTTTTCTAAGCAGCACAAATTAAAACGTTTTGCAGTCACTGCAGCTGCATCTTTCATTAAAATTAAGGAGTAAATTGAAAATATATAACTCAAATCTAAAGCATTATTCTAGTAAGTATCCATATACCCAGAAATTCAGATCTTAAATATTTCATTAGTTCTGTTCTTTCTTTAAGTAGAAGTCTAAAGAGAGAGAACAAACAGTCCCCCCGTATTTGACTAAAGCAGCAAGTTTCTGCTGTTTGCTCCCAAAATTCCCTGAATCAAACAGCCTGTGACACTGCCACTGGAGAGGAACAGGAAGAAGTTTATGTAACTAGTTCAAATAAGATGGAAAGATGATTTAAAACTACTACATAGGGCTTTCAAAAACAAAACTTCACTATTTCTACAGAAGCTCATGCAATCTGGCATTTCACAAGCCCTACCAAGGTGCAGAAGTATGCATAGATCGGCATGTACAGATATTGATGCCAAGAGTTTGCTCACACAACTCTGCTCCTTTGGAACAAGACACTATTTACGGCAATCCACTGGCCAGCGGGGATGATGGTGATGATGATAAAAAGATGTTCTTCATAACTTCAAAGGTGAATCTGTTGTTTAAGATACCAAAGATGCAAACCAAACTACTGCTCAGTTATTAATCCTTTCGTAACATTGCCCAATGGTTTATGAGCTGACGTACATCAGTGAGTGATTCTGACTTAAACAGCCCATGTTTGTTGGACTGCAAAGAAAGCAATTAATATATTGGTCTACCTTAATTCTTAATTCTTCCCTCTTCAAATCTAATGCTCAATTAGAAAAAAATACAAAGCAATAGCAGTTATGTTAAAATAGGTGACAGAAGCAGACAGTGCTTCACGTAACAGTTATATCAAGTTCCCAAAAAGTCTTGGCCCCAGCAGGCTCTGGAACCTTCTCTTCAATAGGACTGAACACTACCTTGGACACGATGCCTTGGGAACTTCCGAAGCAACGGCAAGCAGACAAGTAGAATGTGCAATGTAAAACTAAATATTAGCACTAAAGCACCTGAGTTGGGAACGAAAAGCTCATACGAACCAGTAGAACAAGGTATAGTTGGTATCACTGCTTGCGTTCTCCCCAGGACGCCACGTACAAACTATGTACTCCAAATTGTGCCAAACACAGCTCAAGTCAACAGCAGCACTACCTGGAACACCTACAAGGCAAGTTGGAAAGGTTCTCTAGGATTTATTTTGCCAAAATCTTCTCCCCCATTTCCATTTTTACACAACTGAAACTGTCCGGAAGGCAAAAATGGGTTGGTTATCTCTCAGACTACACAGGTTGTCTCAGCACAGTAAATGATGAATTGCAGTTGTTGATAGTTTGCAATAGCCGAAATCTCAGCAGAGTAACTTCTAAATGCAAGCCAATCACAGGAGTAAATTTCAGTTTTCACCATGTCTGAATTACTGTCCGGAGTTACTTGATGCTAAGAACAAAATGTTAAGTCAGGAACATATTTTATTCCATTAAACTACAGATACTGTAAATAGGAGTCAAAGTAACTGGCAATTACAGGGAAAACTATAACAAAGCTAAGTGTTATTATAGCCATCAACATTAACTATACTTAAATACTGACTATTTTTATCTTCTCCAGATACAACATTAGTTTCTTGGTATTCTGAATATGGAAATACCTGTAGATCTTAAATATGGACAAAAGCAACACTGGGCAAGTTGACTTTTTAATTAAGACTCGTATACTTCTAGACTTTTAAATTCAACATATGGAAAACTCAAATTACAGAACATAAATACAAGTCAGTGCATAGCAACTATAAATAGAGATGTCCATATATCTCCCAAGCAGAGCAATTATGGAATAAAGTCTATCATATTCAATCTTGCATTTGAATGGTACAGGTTCTTTATACCGTATTATCACATTACAGTGTATTGGATATTTTTTGCTTCTAACAAGTAGCAACATCTCCATGAACTAAATATTAAATGCATGCTAAACCCCAATGTACTCTGCTACTTCAGGGAAAATACAAGCTCAGTAGTTCAACGAAGAGTACAGGGAAATGAAACTGCTTTTGCTATTCCAAGAAGTATTGAAAAATATCTCATCTGCAAACAGATTTACAAAAGCCCCAGCACGTTTAGTATGTGCTGCCCTAATGATCTGCTTCCATGATTTTCCAGAAAACCATTTTGGCGCCACTGACAGGCTTGATAAGGTCTCTGATTCTCCCACCCACACATGGGTTTCATCCACATCAAGTCATGCTCCTGGGTTAAGACAGACTTTCAGGCAAGAGGCTCTATGCCCTTGCTGTACATCCTAACTTCAAGCATTCAGCAAAATACATTCTTTCTCAAAGCCTGTTTCCTAACAATTTTCCTGTGGACCCCTTACTTCTGCATTTCAGGAATACTTTTTTTCCTACTCCTTTTGCTATGCGCAGGTTTGTAGACCCCAGTCATCTCTTCTGAAAAAGACAAAACCCTACTTTGACTAGCTAAGTCATTTATTCAACAAGTTGTTAAATTTGCTAGATTCTTTCCTCCAACATGTACAAATGTAAGGTTATTTTAGGGATTTTTGCTTGTACAGAGAAACCATGCAAAATAAGCTGACTTAGACGTGAGTCATGAAGGCAGCAGGCTTAATACAACCTAAGTTATCTCTTATACCACAACCACCACACAACCAGGACAAGAGGAATGACAGGAACCACATCGTTGTTTTGGGAGAGTATTTAAATTTTACAAGCTTGTGTCCACAAGATTTTAAGCCTCAGGAGACCCCAGTTGTGTTTAAATGTTTTATAATCATTCTCTTTAAGCTCTATCAGTTGAACTGGCCCTGATGTCTGGTATTTCTCTACAATATATTTCTATGATATTTTGTTAAAATAGCAGATAAAAAGCAATGTCTCCTCAGGTCTGGCCGCTGCTTGTGTTACCTTTCAGCAGAAGGGAGGTCTCCACCCATGGACTAGGCTCACTGGTGTTATCATGCTTGCACTCACTTCTCACTTTGAAACGCATTTCCTCATCCAAGAACGCATCTGTCACACGGAAGAGATTCTTACTCCATTCCTAGGTTTAGATCAGGAGAGGAAAACCACAGCTTATGTCATGTCACCTCACACACATGGGAATTCCTGTAAGAATGCATTACAGCCCCTCAGAGAGACTGCAGCTCAAAGCCTCATGAAATCAGTGTCAGGCAACGTGGGAAGCCTCGGCAGCGCTTGGCTTTGCTTTTTCCTCATCGTGGGCACTCAGAACTCACAAAGGAAAAGTACTGCTAATCCTGTGGCCTATAAACATGAGCAAAGGCTACAAAGAGACAAAGGGACATGGGGAAAATGGTCCTAGAACAAGTCTTCTCCGATAATGCAAAATAAACGTGTTTATACTACAGCTATATAAACAAGAGCTTAGAGATCTAACCTTCATCTTTCTGTGTATGTGCACATGAGTGCGTGACAAACAGAAGAAAGAACATTTGGAGACACAACCAAAATGCAATGAGAAGAGTTTGCATGTATTTAAGGAGCAAAAGGAAAAGTTATCAAAACAAACCCACAAATGGCTATTAAATACAGTGACACCACATAAAGCCCAAGTAGTCCATTTTCAGAACAGAGTACATGTTTGTGTGAGAAAAAGGCTCAGTCTTCGATCACACACTTTCTTGAGCATCTTTTGTTGGGCTAGGGGGATGTCTTTTATTTAACTGGAAACTTGATACAAACCCATTATCTTTGTTATGACCAAAAAATGCTGTAACCACTCGTGTATAAAAACAAATACTAAATACTGGCACTAGTGAGAGGGCAAAGAAACCAAACAGCAATAGACAGAGTAAGTTCTATGAACTGTAATGCAAAAAGATGCAGCAAGATGATACAATCTGGTTCCTCCTGTCCTGTGAAACGGGTGTCCCTCAGCTCTTTCACTGCTGACCTTAACATCTGTTAGACCCTTCAACAAACTCATTTAGCTCATTACCAAGGTGACTTTCTACTTATTAGTGAACCCATCAGAAGAGGTTTCTGCTGAGTTAGCAATTTCAACTGGCTCATCTAAAGGTCTAATGAAGATTATTAGAGAAAGAGGTGTCAAAAATGAAGCATCACCCTTTTAGGAGTGACATTAAATCAACTCAGCTGTTTGTGAAATCACAGAATCATAAAACAGTTGGTGTTGGAAGGGACCTTAAAGATCATCCAGCTCCAACCTCTCTGCCATGGGTTCCCGCCTTCCACTAGACTAGGTTACTCAACACTCCATCCAACCTGGCCAAACCACAGCCTTACTTCATGTCCAGGACATCCTGGAGCTGTGAGAAAGAAGACAGCAGTCACCATGAAGAGGCATCAGGCTGTAAATGCATAACAGGGCTCAACAACAAAGGACTATCTCAAAAGGCTTCATATCAATTTTAACCATAACTGAAATAGCAGCACTGCCGACCCCACAGCTGGTGAGTACTCAAGGCTTCAAATTCTCATGGCCTGGAACTATGGATATATTATCTTACTGGCAATAAATTGTAAAAATATTTGTTCTGCGACCCCTTCAGCACCACAGCAATGCTTCTCTTGGTCCTGACCACAGCAAGGATCACATCTGGGCTGCAAACCCTCTAACAAAGGAAAACAAAAGCCCAAGCCAGAAAGTTCTGCAATTTCTGTTGCAGGGAACAAATGTGCTCCACGCTGTCTTCATAACACAAGCCCCCATAATAATTATAAGTGCAGGTACAGGGCAAATTTGGGAATGTTAATACTTGGCATTACCTCCAAAAGATGCTATGCTGTCAAATCACAGCTAAATGTGCACATCTCCTTCTGAAACTGAGTTCAAAGGGGACCAGCCACTCCCATCTAAATTCCCATGTAAGTCTTAAGGATGTAGACTGCTCTGTATATATTTTATTTTTTTTAGAAAGCTGCATAAGCAAAGACTGAAACAAGACATTATTATTATGGTACTTCTGTGTGACCTTTAGCAGGTCCACTATCAGAGAGCCACAGACAGATTTTTCTGATCTGAAGATCCCATATACAGGTATGACTCACTGTTGAGGTTTTGATACCATGACAAGAATGAAAAGCTATATTAAAACTGTACTTATATGTATTTATATCTGTATTTAAGCTTGCACACACATAGTTTTATCCCAATAAGACATTTACCAGGGCACAGGAGGATTTAAAGAGGTGATGTACTTACTTTTTCGTCCTGAGGAACCTTGTTAATGACGATGTCACTGGAATACTCCAGGTTGCAGCTCCTGCTGATGTTCTGTGGGGGGTTCCATGTCCAGTTCAGAGTGCACATTTGGATAAATGAGTAGCTCAGGTTGGATGGAGGTGGAAGAAGTTTTGCTTCTAGAAGAAAGAAGTTAGCAGTGTAACGACCCCATTGGTCCACACTTTAACATTAGTAATACTGACTGACTTTTCACTTTCCAACAAAAAATGAACACACATAACTTCTCAACTTCACCAGCTTGTATTTGCTATCAGACAAGCTACTGCCCACTAAATTTAATATTCCTGTTACCTCAAGCCATCAATTATTTAAATATGCACAAAATAACTGGAAAGTAATTTTTAAGAAACTGCAGCGTGCAACAACGTAGTGGCTGTGGTACTTGAGCTTAAGCTCAAGGGAAGATAAGTCTGACTTTTCAGGCTTTTTCTGCTATGAGTTTGCATCACACGTGCTGAAACTTTAGTAAAAATACTATATATATTTTGCAGAGCAATTAGTACCTTCTTCTACCCAAAAGTTATCCATCAATGTGGTTTTAAAGAGAAATCCTCGAAGAGACAAGCGATTAAATTTTACAAGCAACAGTTGTACGTTAGAACCATAATTTAGTCCAATCTAAGCTAAGACTAAAAAGGCAAGAATGTTAAAGAACAACCTGGAAACCACATTACTTTTTCAATTAATCACCTATTAAACTTTTAATGCTATGTTCTGGCACAGTGAGCAAAAACAGTGTGGGACAAGTAGTAATTTATTGCTGGCACACTTCAGAGGTATATTTTTTCACCTCCCTAAAAGCCAGACAGAAGCAGAGCCATGACTCAGAGACAGTTGCTGGGATAAATCCATTCGTGCTTTGACCCTTCCTTACTCTTTACCCTACCAAGCCAATGCCTACTCAAGATCCTGTACTAGAGCTTGAAGGTCACATCAGAAAACAAAGTAGGGAAATACAGCAGAAAATAGAAAACTGCCAGGAAAAAGTAAAGCTGTGTCAGACATCAGTTCTAGAAAGAATAACAAATTGGGAATTCCCCAGGAAAATAAGGGTGGATTTCTTTTTTTTTTCTTAAAGGGCTACTCTAATATGTACTATGAGAAAGTATTAAACAAGAAGCCCAATGAGACTCCTTCTCAGGGTATCTACAGATACCATCGCTGAGGCACCACCACCCATATGTCTGTGGACAGAGTAAGTACCCTTGTTATTCAGTAGTTTCACAAACACTCCAAACAGATATCAGCTAGTGCTGCTGGTCTTGCTCATTCCAGGAGACTGATCTCAACCCATCCCAACATTTAAAGGAACACATAGGAAAAGGGCAGAATAATTCCGTCAAGATCAGTTTTCCCATCCAGATCACACTGTAAACCCATTTTCTTCTGTTGGCACAAGGAAGAGGGAAGATGAAAAAGCAAAAGAGCTTCCTTGAGCAAGAATTCCACTCAAAGTGTCCATGACAACATTATCTTACATTTCCTGAGAGCCAGAGCAGCCAAAGCTCAAAGGAAATTCATCCTGCTGCTTTCACAGATTTCGCATAGTTAAAGGACAGGCAATGGTAAAGATCAGACATTATTGCCATCTGCATGTCCGTGTGTATGCACAGACAATGGATGCTCACACAGAAATGAGAAAAATCACAAAGATTTACTGATTTAGTCCAGATATGCTTAGTTTTTTTAAATACTTAAAACTTGGGGATTTTTGTTTGTTTGTTTGTTCTGTTTTATAGATGATGGCAGGAGCAGAGAAGTCTCCACTTCTAAGTTCAGAAAACTGAACATAGCCAGAATATCTTTGCCTATTATCTGTTCCACTAAAAAACTTCAGTTAGGTTTAGGAGCAGCATCGGAAAATCACATTTGCAAATACTGAGTCGTTTTGAACATTAAAAAAAAAAAAAAAGTATGTATTTTTTTCCACAAGACTACAAAGCTCCAATAATTTAATGGTTTTGTGATCAAATTTTTAATTACCTTCAAAAGCCACAAACCATTAAAAATGTTACAGGGTCATCCCTGATTGCTATTTTTAAGATCTGAACATTTTCTTCTAATAGGTTTGATTGAAGTCATTGTGCTTAAGTCTGCACGTTTCTGATGACACTAAGTGGGAATATTCAAAGCTTATAAATAAATCAATGAATTGTATTAGCATAAAAAGTTTAAATCTAGTAGATTTTTGATCAGTCTATACAATTCTGAAGCTCATGCTTTAATGCTACATTCAGCTTTTATTCATAGGCTGGCCAGTCTCACACTTTTTTTTTGCATAAAATATAGAATCTAATACTTTTGTTTTTAAAATTTCTACAGCAGTTTTAGCAGAACAACTTAATGATCAACTACAAAACGTAGGCAAGCCATTATTTCACTCTTAAAAAGCAAAACCACGGTGGTGCTTCTAAGAAAACAAAGCATGGCAGTTATCAGCAGGGATTAGCTGAGGCAATCCCGCATAGAAAACATACTATTTCTTAAAGCCCTAATGTGGAAACATCAACAACTCCCTTGCATCAAGTACCGTCTCAAGTGTCCTCAAGTACTGAAGACGACATTGAGTTTGTATTTTGCCCTCCAGCATTTTCTGAAGGTCGATTTCATGCTATATGAATTGTAGCCAGTTGAAAAATAACAATTGTCTGGAGTTTGCAGCTGGGGTTTTGGATAACATGAGCAGGGACAGCAGTAACAGAGCTTCGAGGCGGATCTTTATGAAACCCTCACAGACACGCACGCAACTTTCCTTCAACCGAACGTTCGCGCTTCCAGGAGCGGGGATACTGAAGGCGAGGGCGAAGGCAGCGGCCGAGGACCAGGGCTCGGGAGGCTCAGCATGCCCGGGCTCCCGCACCCGGCGGACCCGGCCCCGCAGCGCTGCCCAAAGACTCGGGCACTGGGACGAGGGCGCCGGGCTTCTGCTTAGGGTTTTAAGGCGGAGACAGTCCCGGGAACCGAAGGCAGAGCTTAAAAGACTTCTGCCGACCCCGTCCAACGCTGCCTTACTGCGAGAGGAGCGCGGATTTAAAGCGTCCCCGTTCCTCCGCCCGGTAAGCAGGAGGGGTCCATGAGTGCACCGAGCCGCCCGACCCGCGCACGGCAGAGCCCGGCAGCGGCTGCTCCAGCCCCGGCCCCGCCGGGCACGGAGCGCAGCCGGTCCCGCTCCCCTCCCGTGCTTTCCCTTTCCCCCCTTCCCGATCCTACCTGCCGCCGTGCCCGCCGCGACCGCCCAGCACACGGCGAGGAGGAGCCGCCACCGCAGCGGGGCTCCCTGGAAAGCCGGGGCTGACTGGAAAGCCATGGCTCCAGCCGTCCAGCTCACCACCCGGCTCCCACTTCCCGTCGAGGGGCCGGGCCAGACGGGAAGAGCTGCGCTGCGGGACGGCCCGCCCAGGTAACCCGAGCCAGGGGGGAGCGGCGGACGCGGCCCGGCCCCACCACCTGGGCAGCACCGCCCCCCGCCCGGGGCTGCGGGGCTGAGGTGGCACAGGAGAGTCCCGTGGCACAGGAGATTGCCGTGGCAGCGTCCTGCCGGCCCGCGCTGCCCTCCCTCTGTTGTCACCCCTTTGTCACCCCATGCGCCGTCCCTGCCTGCTCTCTGCTCCCTGTCGCCCGCCGCTGCCTCCCGCACGCACGCCACAGAGACACTTTACAGAATTCAATTAGGTTGGAAAAGACCCCTGAGATGATCGCGTTCCCTTCTCCCGGAGCCATCTGTGCCTCCCCGAGCCCCAACATGGCCCTATCGCGAACCCTAAACTTCAGCGGTGCTGAGGGACCCTGGCAGTGCCCGCACATCCTCTGCAGGGACCGCAGCCCGCACCCGCTGCTGCCCCGCCGCCAGCCCGGTGCCCCCCGCGCCCCCTCCGTGCCCCATCGCTGAGCACCGCAGCGCGGCCAAAAACTCCCAAAGATCTCGTTTTCTAAGTCAAAGTCATTTTCCTTCTACAACCGGATTCACACTCAGCTACTACTGCTATTTCATATCCTCTCAAAAGGAAAGCAGCTACGTTAGCAGGTCCCTGAGCAGTTCTTTTGATCTTAGAACTCGTTATTCACACCCTGGCAGAACTCCTCTTTTCAAAATCCCTTCTGAAAATTCAGGTAATTTCTATAGTTGTCGTCTGTGCATTTTATTTCTTTTTTTTTTTTTTAGTTAGGTTTTTTGTTTGTTTTGTTTTGTTTTGTTTCCCTATGCTACTACAGAGTCTTCTTTTTACAAACTTCCCCAAATGCCATCTGCTTCAGCCCCTTCCAAACACTATGTGGTCACTTGCAATTTTGCTCTCACTTTTATGGGTGTGATGTAGCAAGTTTCCCAAAATTTTCACAGAAGTGGGAATACGACATAAGTGATATTTGGTACATTTCAGGAGAGGAAAACCTTTGGGATAAGGCTTTTCCTATGAACTAGATTTTTGTGGTAGCTAGCAAGCTTGGTCCTAGTTGCCATCAAATACAGGTATTATAAAAACAGTACAGATCCAGAAGAGAGGAAATTTTGGCTAAGTTTCAACGCAAAACAAAATTCATTTGTGAAACTTATTTATTCCTAAGCCAACAGAATGTTTCCATAATTACTCAGCTCTTCAAGGAGTTTTGCAAGAGTTCATCTGCTTTTTAGACACTCATTTTAGAAAAAGGGAAGTGTATCTTTTTATGATAGGGTGGGGAATATCCTGTGTTAATGTTGGGCTTTTTTGCTTTTCTGCCTGTTTTCATTCTCCTGTGAAAAGGATTTAGCAAATTTCCTGCTTGCTGCTTGTTAAAAAGTGCCCAAGGACCTGCAGTTATAATCGAATAAAAAATGAAGCTTAAAGTTTCAGGATGTGGAACATTTCAGCCGTGTGACTGAGATGAGATTGTGCAACTACCTGTAGCCAGCATGGACTACGCTTGCTAGCGAGGACGTTTGTAGAGCAAAGCTGATCCAAGCAGCCTCTCTCTCTTGCACGTTTCCCTGCTGATGTTTTCTTTCCTTCCTTCTTTCGGTTTTGTCCACTCTTTCTCCCAGGAGAGTCAGTGCCAGGCACACATCCAATAGTTCACACACTTTTGGCTGCCTGCCCGTCAGCATCGTTGTCGGCAGCTGAAACATTTTTCCCTGGCTTTCTCCCTGCTCCCTGAGTGCCCAGCTTGTTATGACATTCCCATACTGATTCACGGCAATCAGAATGGCTGCCAGAGTCTCTGATCTCTGCCACCTACCCAAGACTTCCCGTTTCTCAATTTCACTGAATGCTGTCCTGCATCTCTCTGTTGCAAATCTCATGCTCGTTCATGTTCTTGTGGGCCGATACACCCGCCCTGTAATGAGTGGAACTTGTGTAGACGCACCTGAGGTATATTTATATGATCTGTTGAATGAGTTCTTGGGGAATGCCTTCATCCTTGGTGTAAACTGCTTTAAGAATATGTTGCTGATCTGCCCTTGGCTGTGTGTTCCTGCCATTTTCACCCATGCGACCAAAGCCAGTGGTCGTGGGACTGTGTAGCGAGTTTGCTGATGCGTTAAAAAAGAAACAAACAAACAAAAGAATGAAAAAAGAAACCACAAAAAAAATCCAAAATACAAACAGCATTTTTCCTGTACATGTTCCCCAACACAGATAAACAAATGGTGCTAATGAATGGTGTGATGGTGTGGGCTTCGTGATTACTAGGTCTGACAAGCAGCAGTAATTATCAGCACAGGGCTGTGGGAGCAGAAGAGTCCTCTGTCATCTCACACCAGTGGTGAGATTCCTCCTTTTTGATTTTGGATTTTGCAGCAACTTCCACCAGTACTTTGTGTCTTAATTAACATAATGATAGACCCTTCAGAAGATGGCTGGGGTCAGTTCAAAAAAGGGCTCAAATGAAATACAGCTGACTGTATTTTGTGCCTCAGGCACAAAAATCCAAAACTATGAGCTGAAAAAAAACCCCATCTGACTCATGGGGCCTCTCTCTTTTCAACTTCAGTGTTCTTTGGGGACTTCTAGAATTTTGTGATTTGAGTGTCCACAATGGCCATGAACTCTCCAAACTCCCTCTCAGCTGCGGCTCAAGCCCCATGGAAATCAGAAATTATGAGGATCAAAACCCACCTCCTTTGCAGAGCACTTTTGGGTAGATGTGGAACCAGGTACGCTTGTGCAAATGTTGCACCCCTCTCGAACTTGCTGTTGCAAGTCCATGCATTAACTGTTCTGCTCACAGTTGCCTAGGTAACATGATCTATTTAATTAATCTATTTATTTGGCAAGGGAGTAACTCCTTCACCTATTAAGGGAAGCAGGACATAAACCTGGCTCTACAGCTGCTTGGCCAAGGCTTCCAAGAGTCACACAGAGAAGCCTCAGTGATAGAAGACAGCAGTAGGAAAAGAAGTTTGTCCTTTTTGTTCTGGTGAGGTAAATAATAATCATGCCTGACTTCCATTACATCATATGAGAGCTAGTAAAACTGCCTGGCCTGAGCATGTACACCAGTGTATTTTCCATGTAAGTTGAGTTAACTGGAGAAGAGCAACAATAAATAAGTCCCCAAAGAGCAAAAGTCTAGGTTTGAAAATTGCAACTACAATCCTGAGGTAAAACGAGATCACACACTTACTGGATATCCTTTATCAAAGTAGGGTGATCTGCTGAGATGTTTCCTTACTAGCCATTCATACCTCATACATTTGTATGCATGTCTATGGTATGTCTCAGGTTTCCCGATCAATCACGTTTTCAGAATCCCCCCCGAGCTGGATTTGTGGCATTTCTGAATCGACATCTTTTATTTGTTGCTGAATAATTTAGTGTTCACAATTTAATTTGGTGTACTTATGTATTAGAAGGTTTATTACAGTACTCTTCTTTAGAGGCAGCATATGTGATAGCTCAGTGTACTAGGATTTAGTCCCATGAATCTTACACTGCTATTAGCTTTTTATCACTCATCCTATTCTATGAAATAGAAAAAAAAAAACCAAACCAAAACCCTAAGCAAAACATGTTTATTGCGACACTTATTTTTCCTGATTTTGTAGTCTTTTATTTTGACCTGGAATAAACTCTCTAAACTCATCTGAATGTGATTTTTTTGCCCTGGCTTCTTGTCAAAGTTATTCATTATTCAAGAAAAAGAAAGTAAAAAGGGCCATATAGGACCACTGGTCTCAGAAAGCTCTGGAGCAGTGCTGTGCATCACTCAGTGTCCCACGTGCATGAGTTAAAAACGGAGGCAAGGGGGACGCGCTGCTCCTCGGCACACACAGGAGGTTCCACAGGCCTCATAAAACACGTTATGTACAACACACAGGGTAAAAGCATTTCTGTCATGAATATGTAGCAGAAGGTGTTAAATTTACATGAGAAGGAAGTTAATTACATCCACAATAGCCGAGATATTATGTATATATCACAACTGTTCACTGTTGCTTGACACAAGCATATTATTTAAAGGTTAAGTACTACACAATCTGTGGTTGCATAATAATTAGCTGTACACAGTGTTCCTCAATCCAGTAAGAAACCCTTGTTTTATTAAAGAACTCAGCTCAGCAAACATCAAATCAACACATGCTACTCTCCTCAAGCAGCTAAATTGAGTAAGATGTGGTTTAATTTGTATGAGATTTTTGAGCCCATGACCTCCACTTAAGTTTTTTTTCCAGTTCTTTTGGTTCAAGTTACTCAAATCATAGGGTTATTCTGCAGGCTGCTGTGAAGTACATGTAAGGGAAGTATATTTTACCTACTTTGAGAAAAAAGGTGTCATGTTTATGTAAAGTCTATATCCAGGTTGCTTAAGTTCAAAAGTCTTCTGGAACAAAATAACCATATCACACACTGCAGGTGTGTAACATGATGATTTTTCATTTGATAGCCTATCTCATGGAAATTCCTGTTATCAGAAGAAATTTAGAACACCAAGTAGTATGTAGAAATACATCCTTCGCTGCACTAAGTTCTTCATTCTAGATTTTTGGGGGTAGAAAGAAACATAACTGAAGTTTTTTTTCTTAAAACACTACTTTCTAATCTCTCTGCAGAGAGAAAACCAGTAGGTCAGAGAAGAAAATGTTTATACTTAGCTTACTCTATAAATCTCTAAAAGCAAGTTCTTGTACATAAAATGCTGGCGGACCCTTTGTTGCTTTATATGCCCTATTTGCAAACCATCTGATTCTAGCACATACCATTATCCAAATCAATCCTGATACTAAGAGTAGCCAAGTGCTCTTAAACCTCATGGAGAGATACTTTAACCTGTTTCTTTGCCTTTTATGCAAAACTACCAGTGCATCCATCC